ATACTGGTTATTTGGAACAAACTAATATTAGTGTCACTACACTGTGAGATTCATTAGGAGTAAAGAAAAAAGGCATAACGTCTTCCGTGTTGGCTCAGCGGGTAAAGACTCTGCCTGCAATACAGGAGACAAGGGTGTGATCCCTGGGTGAGGAAGATCACGCGGTGAAGAGAATGATGCTATCCAGTATCCTTGCCTGGGAAATCCCACTGACAGAGGAGCCTGGCCATCACAAAGAGTCAGTCATGACTGAGCAACTAAGCACATACAGCAGACAGGCAAAACACATAAATAGATAATGTCAAAAATGAGAAAAGAAACATCATTACAGGTCATCAGATATGAAAAACGGTGATTGCAGCCATGAAATTAAAAGCCGCTAACTCCTTGGAAGGAAAGTTATGACCTACCTAGACAGCATATTAAAAAGCAGAGACAATACTTTGCCCACAAAGGTCCGTCTAGTCAAAGCTATGGTTTTTCTAGTTATCATGTATGGATGTGAGAATTGGACTATAAAGAAAGCTGAGCACCGAAGAATTTATGTTTTTGAACTGTGGTGTTGGAGAAGACTCTTGAGAGTCCCTTGGACTGCAAGGAGATCCAACCAGTCCATCCTCAAGGAAATCAGTAATGGATGTTTACTGGAAAGACTGATGTTGAAGCTGAAACTCCAATCCTTTGGCCACCTGATGCGAAGACCTGACTCATTTCAAAAGACCCTGATGCTGGGAAAGATTAAGGGCAGGAGGAGAAGGGGAAAACAGACGATGAGATGATTGGATGGCATCACCGACTCAATGGGCATGGGTTTGGGTGGACTCTGGGAGCTGGTGATGGGCAGGGAGGCCTGGCGTGCTGCGGTTCATGGGGTCGCAAAGAGTCGGAGACGACTGAGCAACTGAACTGAACTGAATAAGGGTATTGTTTTAAAAATCCAACAATTTCTCCAAATAAACATGAAAATTTAGATGAAATGGCAAATTTATAAAAATTTAACACTTAAAACATGCAAAGCCTATAATCATTAAAGAAATTGAATCATAAGTGAATTTTTTTTCCCTCAAAGAAAACTCCAGGTCTAGACAGCTTCTCTGGAAAATTCAACCAAAAAAAAAAAAAAAAAAGCCAGAATAAATAAATTTTATGAATCCAATATACTGAAATACTTAGAGCAATAAAAATGAACAAACAACAACTACACTTGAATAAAACTTACAAATATAATTTTGAAACAAAAGAGTGAAGTACAAAAGTATATCTAGAACAGTCTGTTGATTTGAAGGTCAAAACCCTGTTCAGTTGGTAAAGAATCTGCCTGCCAATGCAGGAGATGAAAGAGATGCGGGTTCGATCTCTGGGTCAAAAAGATCCCCTGGAGTAGGAAATGGCAATCCCCTCCAGTATGCTTGACTGGAAAATTCCATGAACAGTGGAGCTGGGTAGGCTTTAGTCCAGGGGGTTGCAGAGTGGGATGTGACACATGCATGCACACACTCTGTCATAATGGATTGGGAGTCACCTACTTTCTGGGAAGAAAAGGCAGACCATTCTCCCACAGCCAGGACAGCACTTAAAAACCTTGCCTCTTACAAAATTAAATCACACAATTAATTCTAGGACCTGACACCGTCTAAGAAACAGCTGCATGTAAATAATGAGTTTACATGCGCCTTTCTTCATCCTTTGACACTTGCTCAAAGCCTAAGCTACACAGCTGACACTCAATACAGTTTTGGTGGTTGAATAAAAAAAAATTAGGGTCTCTTTCCACTTCTCAGATATATTTAGGCTATGGATCCCATCAAAGAAGCTGAAAGCTTTGGCAGTTTGGAAAATGCCGAGAACAACAAAGAAACGTTTCCAAGACACAACCTGGAAATGCCCTTACATCTTTTGCAAAATTCTCCCACTTGACATTCTTGACAAATATACCCCCTCTTCATAACTTCTTTTCAATGCATGGAGAAAATCCTAGAGGTCAGAACAGCTCTACCACCACTATGTTGGAAACATCGGTCCTTCCTACATCATGACATCATTCACATCAATGCTGTTATAAATACAATATATGTTAGAGATACAAAGCTTTAAAGGCAATGCTTATGAGCAGGCTTTCTGATGATAAATTGGGCTTTTCTCTACTTAGTTATCTAATGGGGAAGTCCCACATTCTTAACACATTGAAAAAAAAAGTCCTCCCTTGCCAAGAAGTTTTCAAAAGTTACTATTTTTGTAGAGCCTATAAGAATTCAGCACATTCACTGTGCATGCTGACTGGGCAGAAGCGTTTAACTCGCAGACCCTATTTCCAGAGCCGGGTTGCCATCTGGGCTGGGCACAGATGTTTTGACAGGACAAGAACTCTTCCAAGCACAAGTTTTTGTTCATTGTATTAAAACAAAAGCAGCCCTGTTAATTTCAGTCCCATTCAGGACCAAGTGTGGTGGGGGGGTGGAAAGAATCAATATTTGCTAAGAGGAGAAGAACAAAATCAGTAGGGGGGAAAACAATTATTTGCTGGCTTTTCAGAGAATATTACAAATAATGACGGCTCCAAACCATAAAAAAAAACTGTTCAAAGAATTGCCTGACACGAGCCCTTTAATCTGTGGTTCAGTTTACCCTTTGGTTCATCCTTTCTATGGAGAACTTGAATCCATGAAAATTTGTGTAGGAATACAAACTAATTGCCATGCAAATACCAACCCTCTCTGGAGCTGAACGTTTTCAGCTGGAAGGGATCACGCAGCAGCCAAGCTCATCGAGACATGCTCAGATCAGCAAGAGGGCAAAAGATGTTTGCCGTATACAATAGCGAGAGCTTAGGTGCCCTCGAGTCAGGCAAGCATAATATATTTCACAATTCCAAGCATTAGGCATTCTGGAAAAATGAACCAATTCCAGCCTAGTCCTTCAAAGTCAGCCAAGAAAAACAGATCCTGTTTCTTCTACTAGCTACTAAATGTCCTTCCTTAAGACACCACGAAATTAAAAGGTGATTGACCTTGGAAGGAAAGCTATGACAAACCTAGAAGGTGTATTCAAAAGCAGAGACATCACTTTGCCGACAAAGCTCCATGTAGTCAAAGCTGTGGTTTTTCCAGTAGTCAAGTATGCATGTGAGAGTTGGACCGTGAAGAAGGCTGAGCACGGAAGAAATGATGCTTTTGAACTGTGGTGCTGGAGAAGACTCTTGAGAGTCCCTTGGACAGCAAGGAGATCAAACCAGTCAATCCTCAAGGAAATCAACCCTGAATATTCACTGGAAGGACTGATGTTGAAGCTGGAAACTCCAATAGTTTCGCCACCTGATTCGAAGAACTGACTCTTTGGAAAAGACACTGATGCTGAGAAAGATTGAAGGCAGGAGGAGAAGGGGACGACAGAGGATGAGCTGATTGGATGGCATCACTGACTCAAAGGACATGAATTTGAGCAAGCTCCAGGAGATAGTGAAGGAGAGGGAAGCCTGGTCTGCTACAGTCCATGGGGTTGCAAAGGTTGGACACGACTGAGCAACTGGACAAGATGTTATAAAAGTATAAGCACTGGTAGAAGATAAAATAATGTCTCATCAGATGCAATCATTCATAAATAGATTATCACTCAGAAGAAATCATGTTCTCCCTGGAACAAAGGGATCGTTAAGCCCACACATGAGTCACTTTATTAACATGGGGATTCAGGTTGGATTTCTCAAAGCCAGAGGCTGGCCTCCTTGAGGATGCCAGGATTCCCTCAAGGATGGAGAAATCAAAAGTCCCCGAAATAGGAGAGAAGGAGCCTTCTGTTGGAGAGACTGTGCATGTGTGTTCAGTCACTCTGTCGTGTCTCTTTGCAACCCCATGGGCTGTAGCCCACCAGGCTCCTGTGTCCATGGAATTTTCCAGACAAAAATACTGGAGTGGGTTGCCGTTTCCTCCTTCAGGGGATCTTCCCAACCCAGGGACTGAATCAGTGTCTCCTGCATTGGCAGGCAGATTCTTTACCACTGAGCCCCCGGGAAGCCGCTCTGATGGAGAGAAGGGCGTTGAAATCGCTCTCCGCTGCTTCAGGACTGATGAAGACTCCCAGCTCCTGGCACCCACGTCCGAGGTTTCTCTGCCTTCGGTGACCTGCCCAGTACACCCGAGGATGGGGCAGGCAGTGACAGCCACTGACTGCGTTTGCTGGTGGGGAAGCTCAGTCAGTGCTCCGTGAGCCAGCCGGGCTGGAAAGAGCTCCACTGACCCAGCTCTGAAACGGCCCCCTTCCCCAGGTCTCATCCACTGAGACAGCGATGGGCTGTGCCTGTGCGGCTGGGCGTGGCCCCACTTACCGCCTGGGTGGTTCACGCCGCATAATCCTGGACTCCAGACGCTGACGTTTTACCCAGCTTTCTCCGCCTGTGTTCTTTTTCACAATAAACAAAAAAGCACCGCTCGGAGGTGGAGGGCCAAGGCCAGCCCATCGGCATCCGAGGCTGGCGTCCTGGACGTCCCTCGGGATGGAAGGAGAGTCCTCCAGCCTCCCCGGAGGGTGAGCCGTCGCTCGCAAAGCAGTCTTTCCTGCCTGGCGAGGCAGGCGTCCACGTGACCTCACAGCAGTCAGGAAGCAGCCGCGTGGGGCCACCACCGTGGGGGGACAAAGGAACCCTTCCTGAGGGCGGGGCCTTGAACGCGGGCGAAGAGCCCTCCCGAGGGAGAGGGCCGCGGGGAAAGGCGGCCCCAGCGGCAGAGCGCGCGGCAGGGGCTCTGACCAGGGAGATGGGGCTGTGAGGTGAGAGGGCGAAGAGTAACAGTCTGGAAAATTAAGCCCAGACGTCAGTGATGGGGGCCCGATGACCCGCCAGCAGGTCTGGACAAACAGCAGGCAAGGTAGGAGGTGTCCGGAAGGCGACCGGCCCCTGGGCGTTACCATGGCGATTCTCGGAGCTCGTTTACCACGAAAACTCGACCTGCAGGAATCTGAAAGCTTTCCAGATTGTCACTCTGTGTCCACAGCGGAACGCATCCGGTTCAGGAGTGTGGTTTGGGGATAAGGGTCAGTTCCCAGAGCAACGCCTTCTTCCCGGTCTCCAGGCGCCCGTGTGGGGAGATGCTCTGCAAACAGCCCGAGACTCCGTCAGGGAAAAGCTCCAGGCGGGGCCCTTGGCCAGAGCGGGAAAAGAGCAGCTTTAGGAGAAAGCCCTCAGGACGTGTGAGGGCCACTGTCAGGCGGCGGAGGCGTTTCTCGTAGGAGACGGAGAAGGGACCATTGGTGCAGCTGTAGGACGCAGACCAGAAGGCAGGAAAGGAGAGATGGGGAGAGTTCTGCAACGAGCCAGCCTGTCCGGCAGCACCAGGACCCCAGGCAAGGCCGAGGGCTGCAAGCCCACCTCCCCAGAGCATCTCCCACAAAAGACAGTGCTGCTTTGGCCCAGAGGCCAGACAAGAGGCTTCCAAGCTCCCTGTACCAATGCGCTATGTTCACAGCTGCACCCAGAGAAGCTGACCACAGGAGCACACACACAGGTGTGCCGGGCAGGGGATCCAGGAGCCCCCGACTGCTGCTCCAAGAGCCCATGAAGAGGCCCCCACAAGGCGGGACATGCCCACGGGCTCCCCTCCCTGGACCGCAGCCCTGCCCGTCAGATGCTCTTTCCGTGTCGTCCCAGAGGCCTGGGCTCCCGAGAGCTGGCCTTGCATCTCCCCAGCTCTGCTCTGGGTAGCTTGAAACACTTGCCACTCTGGGAGGATTTACACCAGAGAAATCAGCAGATGCTACTGATCAGGACCTTTTGCTTTTCTTTTCAGGTATCTTGTCGTTAAGCCTCTACCAGCGCACCACCAGCTCTGGGCAAAATCCACAGGAGCCCAAAGCGTCAGAGTCTCGCCTTTCAGAGACATCCCGTCTGGTCCTGTCTCTAGGTCCGTGCCCGACCCAGGAGTTCACGTCGGTCCCACTCAGGGAGCTGCACCTGACCCCTCTCCCCTGCCCTCCCGCCCCCCACGGCTCTCACCCGCCTCTCGCACCACCTCACAGCACACAGGCAGTGAGCAGCAGACACTGAACTGAGCCGGGCGCCCATGTGAGCTCACTAGATCTTCCAGCCAGCCTCGGGGTAGGCCCAGGCTCCTGGCACTGCCCCCAGGCTGCTCTGCAACTTGCTGTAAAAGACACAAAATCCAGATAACCCCTAGCAACGTTAATCTCTTTGGGGATGGGGGGTGGGGAAGACAGCACATAATTTCAGCGCAGATTTAGCACCTGATGGCTTGTGCTTTATCCTCACCCTGAGTGAGACTGCCTTCCCCCTGGGAGAGAGGCAGAAGAGAGTCTGTGATTACAACTTGCTGAAGAAAAAAACAACAGAAAGGACTGTCTTATGTGGGTACCAATTAAAGCGCTCACATACACACACAGAGTGAAGCGGGAGCCCGCGCTGACATGCGGGCCTGGGAACAAGAATGACTTCCCTTTAGAGGCTTTCGTCCGGGAGACGTCTTTTGACGCATAAGAATGAGCGGTCTTGGGCGGTTCCAAACACCTTGAAGTTTCTGCTTCTTTACGTGTGAGACAAGACAGTCTCCCCTCGCCCCTCCTGTAGGACCACGAAAGGAAGGAGAAGATGCCTGTGAAGATACAGTGTGGATTAAAAACCCTCCGTAAATGTGATTCCGAGGACCTAGCTGATGGTGATATGAGGCAATCTGTAATGAGAGCTCAGCGTTTAGACTAGAAAGCTGAGGCCAGGGAGCTTACAGATGTCCCAACACAGCATCCCAGCTTCAGGAATCAAAGGGAGACTTTGGTTTCGGGTTTTTGTGGACATCTATCCAGAGGCTATGGTTTTTCCAGTGGTCATGTATAGATGTGAAAGTGGACTATAAAGAAAGCTGAGCACTGAAGAATTGATGCTTTTGAACTGTGATGTTGGAGAAGACTCTTGAGAGTCCCTTGGACTGCAAGGTCTTGAGAGTCCCTTGGACTACAAGGAGATCCAACCAGTCCATCCTAAAGGAAATAAGTCCTGAATATTCATTGGAAGGACTGATGCTGAAGCTGAAACTCCAGTACTTTGGCCACCTGATGGGAAGAATTGACTCATTTGAAAAGACCCTGATGCTGGGAGGGATTAGGGGCAGGAGGAGAAGGGGACGACAGAGGATGAGATGGTTGGATGGCATCACCGACTCAATGGACATGAGTTTGAGTAGGCTCCAGGAGTAGGTGATGGACAGGGAGGCCTGGTGTGCTGCAGTCCATGGGGTCACAGAGTCAGACATGACTGAGCGACTGACTGAACTGATTCAGAGGCCCCGAACATTAGTCTGGTGCGCTGATAAAGCACTCACAGGGCCAGCACTGCAACTGAAGAGAACAAATCAGCCGCCACTCTCTCCTCTGGGCGACGGGGTTGGAGTCTCATGGCTCGAGGCTGATGCGACTGCTCTGGGTGTTTAGAAAAACTGCCAGAGGGAAGGAACTGGCCGGTGGGCCACGACTCGGTTAACGGGAGGGTGTAAAAGCCACTCTGCGTTTTAGGGTCGTGTCCACCTCGGACTCTTTCAGGGATGAGGAGAAAGCAGACCTCCCTCCCCAGGCCCTGGAACACACCCTGCCCTCTACATGCTGGCCAGGATGGCTGATGTGAAGAATATTTTCACAGCTGCAAGGAGACATTTCCACTGGAGTCCTTAAAAAGCAGTTGTCATCCCCCCCCACCCCCCCACCACCCCCAGGAGTTGTAACCCACATAGAGCTGACCTCTCACTCCAACTGGAGGAAGTTCAGGGCCCGGCATGTTCCGTTTGCGCCCTGGCCACCAGCCAAACCCAGCCTCGGTCAGCGCTGACGTCCCCTGCACCCTGGGGTCTGAGTCTGGGCCGGCGGGTCTCCAGCAGCCAGGCCAGAGGGGAGGGAGAGACCCCCTGCCCCCATGGCATTCAGCAGCTCGGGCCCTAGGGGCCTGCCAGGCTTGTTTTCCAGCTGAGGCCTTGCAGCTGCCAAGACCCGACTTCAGAGAGAGTGCGGGAGTGCCGCTGGGCAGAGCCGGGGGTGGGGGTGGTGGCGGGCGGCAGGGAGACGGTCTTTATTCCCCAGGCCGGGCCCCGCCTGGCGTCTCAGTCCAAGGCCCACCTGACTGTTGATGCTCGTGGACCTCACACTCCAGCCTGCAGGGCGACCGACCAGCGGCCGTTTCAAGACTGACAGCCGTGTGCAAAGAGCCAGCGAGGCTTGCCGCCCTCCCTGCCCCATCGCCTAGGGTGAGTCCAGGGCGGGGGGCAGAAGGGAGCAGAAGGGTTGGGGGGCTGCGAGCCCAGTCTTCTCCTTCCCTTCCATCGAGGCCAGACTGCTGGTGGCCGATGAGACAGCAGGTTCGGAGACCGAGAGAGGCATTTTCTATGCAGTTCAGTAATGTTCTGGAACAGCTGCACGAATGCGGGCCATTTCTCTGAGAAGATGCCCTCCCCGCTTTCCTGTTAACCCACCGAGGACTCTGCCTGTCAGTGCCTTGGGAGGGGGCCTGGGCATCGTACAGGCAGGAGCCAAGGTCTGAGCCCAGGGATGGCAGGGATCACGCCCAATCCGGGTTTAAATGGCACGTCGAGGTCCCGGCCCACTACCCAACACTGCCCTGGGGGCTGGAATCTGGACTGGGTGTGTATGTACCCGCCTCGAGGAGCTTGAAGACCATGGGGAGGTGGGCAAGAGGCAGAAGGACCCCACTGGGACGCAAGGCTCCAGCTGCACCTCGGAGCCATGGCTGAGGACCCTCGGGGGCAGAGGTGCGGTGGTACAGTCAGGGCTGAGAGGTTTCTGGGCATTCTGGGCCAGGCTCCAAAATGACCTAGCACCCCAGCAGCAGCATGTGTCCAAAGCCTGTGCTAACGCCAGCATGTGCCGCTTCCATCGCCCCAGGGGAACTGAGACAGCCACGGCTTAGGGGCCCCTGTGGGCTGCAGCATCTACCCGCCATCAGCACCACCAGCCCGTTAGGGAAGAGCGCGGTGCCCAGTTTCAGAAATGTGGAGACAGAGACTCGAGTGGGTCGACAGCTTTGCCGAAATGTGCCTGATAGGAGATGGGGCGGGGGGGGACCAGGCCCAGAGCCTTTGCTCTGGACGCAGGTCCTCCTCAGGACGTCCTCCCGCGTGACAGTGACCCAGCTCCTCGGAGGCCCAGAGCTGAGCCCCGGAACGCCCCCGGATGAGGCTGGGAGAGTGAGTGGTCTGCAGTGTTTCAGAGGTGCTTGCTGCCTGCGCCTTCTCTACAAACACGAGCACTCAGCAGAGCCGGTCTTCCCTTTTTTCCTCATCCTCCTTGTCCTGGTGTGAGGACAGGAAGGCCCCCCAAGAAGGACAAAGGCTGCTCGCCCCCCCGAGAGCTGGCTTTAGCAAAGGACCAGGCCTCCACCAGCTTGTCTGTCCCAGACTCAGGTCAGGCAGCTGACAGGGGGAGAGTTACAGTGGACAGAGGGACGGCTCCAGAGTGCCCTGCTCAGAGGTGGGGGCCCAGGGCACCCCCATCATTGGTTGGGGTGCATATCTGGCTTTCTCTGAAGACTTACAAGTGGGCTCAGAGCCCAGGTTGTTTCTTGGTCGGCCCCCCTGACGTCTCGGAGTCCCCACTGCATAAGGGGGTGCAGAGCCCCTGACTAGGCCCACCCGGCGAGAGCCACCCCGACTTGGGGGTTGCGGTGAGCAGCTGGCTGAGGCCGGCAGGGTCCCAGCCCCTTCTGCTCTGCTTGCCTCCTGCCTCGACCCCCAGGCGCCACCTCCTTCCTCCCCGTCCTCCCTGTATCACCTCTCGTCTCCTGACAGGTTGGGGACCCCTGACTCTTCTCCATCAGGGCCAACAGATCACGCTGGCCTGGCCCCTCCAAGTGTCCCAAGGGGCCACAGTGCTGGAACTTTCCTACCTGGTACCGAGCAGGGAGCGCTGCTTCTGTCCCTACTGCCGGGGGAGCAGACCCATGTTAGCGCCTCCCCTCCGCCCCAAGCCCACTCTGCGAGTGTCCTAGAAAGGGAGGTCCACTCCCAGGAGCATCTCCCATGCCTCCCTCCCCAGGACCATGCTCACATCAAGCCTCCCGCGGAGATGTGATAACGAAGCACTTTTGCGCACGTGGCGCTCCATCTCCTAAAGGTTTTGGATTGCGTTGGCTCAGCATTCCGCCCGGCGCAGCTGCAGATGAAAAGCTTCAGAAATGTGTATTGACTAAAATGTCTCCAAGACGGCACGTGATCTCGGCAAGAGGAGTTTTTTCCTTTCGCTCCCTTGTTCCTTTTCACTTGGCTTTTTCTCACGTTTTAAGAAACGCAGTCATTAAAGAAGATCCCTAAGGAAATGAAGCCCAGAACACGGTGTTAACATATCATAGAAGTTCTGACTTTCAATACCCAATTCCCCAGAAAATGTTGAATGAAGCCGGTTAGTTCCACATTTACAGAAACACAGGAAATTTTCTGGGGAAATTATCTAGAATGAAACGAGTAGCTGATCTCGTCTCTCTCCCTGCTCTCAATCTGCCCAAAGCTCCTCTTTCACTTATGAAATTTTTATGAATGAAAAGCCACAACTGCCAGCAGCTCCGGTGTGTCTGTAGCCGCGGCCAAGCTCAGGTGGGACAGGCCTTGAAACGCAGTCACAGGGCCTGTGGGCGTCAGCCGAGCCTCTCTCAGCTTTGTGTCTTAGGACCTGCCTTGACGTTTTTGGGAAGCTTCAAAGATAAAGGTGGCTCTAGATTTTAACAAATGACCTTACAAAGTTCACCTTCTTATATAAAAATTCAGTCATTTCTAAATTTACAAATCCCTGCTCCATCTCAGATCAAATGGCAGCCCACTCCAGTATTCTTGCCTGGAGAAGCCCATGGACAGAGGAGCCTGGTGGGCTACAGTCCATGGGCTCCCAAAGAGTCGGACACGACTGAAGTGACTTAGCACCCTCACACAATAATTGTTAGTTCAGTACTAAGCTCTCCTGGTGATTACATGGAGGAAATTTAAAATATGTGTGCATATTTGAGGGTAGTCTATGATAACATTTTAGTTCAATTAAATGTTTTAGCTCAATTGAAATATAATTATCAGAATTTACTGCATAATTGCATTGCATGATTATACACTATGAGACAGGGGTCATTTCAATAATTCTTTGCATTTAATGATTCCTCAGAAAGAATAAGTTTTGTCATAGAGAAATAGCATATTCAGTATAACCAGGATAGTTTTCCCATAAGACATAGTCATATAATTCGTATGTTACCGAATACTATTCTATCATTATATTCATGTTCGATTATGAATCAAATTATTATAAATTTAAGATTTTTTAATTACCATGAAGTAAAATTGACTATGGATTTTAAAACATGTGGAGAAAAGGAAACCTTTGTGCAGTTTAGAAATAATTTCATCTGGCACTTTTCAAACATTAATATGACAAATACATTCTAAAGTACTAAAATGAGCTAGCAGAAAGAAAAATTAAGAAAACAATCCCATTTTGAATCAAACACACAAATAAAGAATAAAATACCTAGGAAGAAATTTAACTAAGGAGGCAAAAGACCTATACATGAAAACTATCAGACACTGTAGAAAGAGACTGAAGAAGATACAGATAAATGGAAAACTATCCTGTGCTCATGGGTTAGTAGAATTAACAGTAGCAAAAGGCCCATATTGCCTAAAGAAATATACACATTCAATGCAACCCCTGTCAAAATCCAAAGGACATTTTTCACAGAAATAGAAAAAAAAAGAAGTCTAAAATGCATGTGAAACCGCAAAAGACCCCACAGCCAGAACAGTCCTGAGGAGAAAAAAAACAAACCGGTAGGTATTATGCTCCCTGACTTCTAACTATGTTACAAAGCCATAGTAAGAAAACAGCATGGGACTGGCAGAAAAATGGAGACATAGATCAGTAGAACAGAACTGAGAGCCCAGAAATAAAGCCACGTGTATACGTACAACTAACCTGTGACGAAGGAGCCGAAGAGCACGCAAGATAGAGAAGACAGCCTCTTCAGTGAACGGCGCTGGGAAAGCGGGACAGCCACACACGGAGGGGCGAAACTAGATCTCCGTCTCACACTGCGTACAGAGACTAGCTCGGAGTGGATCAGAGACTTGAATGCGAGGCCTGAAGACATGAAACTCCCAGAAGAAAACACAGGTGGTATACTCTTTGGCATCAGTCTTAGCAGTAGATATCTGGATCCATCTCCTCAGGAAGGGAAACAAAACCAAAATAAGCAAATGGGATTGCATCAAACCTAAATGCTTCTGCACAGAAAAGGAAACTGCCCATAAAACGAAAAAACAACCTATCAAATGGGAGGAGATATTTGCAAATCATATATCCTATAAGAGGTTACTATCAAAATTATATAATGAACTGTTTCGGTTAACAACAATAAAAAGGAACCTGGTTTTTTTTTAATGGGCAGATGAGCTGAATAGACATTAAAAAAAAAAAAGAAGGCTAGCAGGAATGTGAAAATATGTTCAGCATCACTAATAATCAGGGAAATGCAATCAAAACCACAGTGAGATATCAACTCACACTTGTCAGAATGGCTGGTACCTAAAAGACAAGAAATAGCAAGTGTTGTCGAGGATGGAGAAAAAAGGGAACCTCATACACTGTTGATGGGAGTATAAAGTGGTATGGAAAACAGTATAATAAAGTTGAGAATAGAACCACCATACGATCCAGCTATCCCACATCAGGGTATTTATAAAAGAATACGAAAGCACTAATTTGAAAAGAAGTATGTTTCCCTCTGTTCACTGCAGCATTATTTACAGTAGACAAGATATGGAAACAATCAAAGTGCCCATCCATAGATGAACAGATGGAGAAGATGTGAAACACACATATAAAAACATGGGTAGATGAAGATACAGATATAGATAGATATATACAATAAAATACTACTCAGCCATAAAACATGAAATCCTGTCTTTTGCAACAAACTGTATGGAACTTGAAGGTATTTTGCTAAGTGAAATAAATCAGATGGAGAAAGACAAATGCCATATGAGTTCACTCTTACGTGGAATATAGTTGTTGTTCAGTTGCCCAGTCATGTCTGACTCTTAGCAGTCCCTTGGGCTGCAACACGTCAGGCTTCCCTGTCCATCACCATCTCCCAGAGCTTGCTCAAACTCATGTCCATCGAGTCAGTGATGCCATCCAACCATCTCATCATCTGTCCTTCCCTTCTCCTCCCACCTTCAATGTTCCCCAGAATCAGGGTCTTTTCCAATGAGTCAGTTCTTCGCATCAGGTGGCCAAAGGATTGGAGCTTCAGCTTCAGCATCAGTCCTTCCAATGAATATTCAGGACTGATCTCCTTTAGGATGGACTGGTTGGATGTCCTTGCAGTCCAAGGTACGCTCAAGAGTCTTCTCCAACACCACGATTTGAAAGCATCAATTTTTCAGCGTTCAACTTTCTTTATAGTCCAACTCTCACATCCATACATGACTACTGGAAAAACCATAGCCTTGACTAGACGGACCTTTTTTGGCAAAGTAATGTCTCTGCTTTTTAATATGCCATCTAAGTTGGTTATAACTTTCCTTCCAAGGAACAAGCGTCTTTTAACTTCATGGCTGCAGTCACCATCTGCAGTGATTTTGGAGCCCCCAAAAATAAAGTCTGTCACTGTTTCCATTGTTTCCCTGTCTATTTGCCATGAAGTGATGGGATCGGATGCCATGATCTTGGTGTTTTAAATGTTGAGTTTTAAGCCAGCTTTTCCACACTCCTGTTTCACCTTCATCAAGACACTCGACAAACAAAACACACGAACAAACCAAACCAGACAAACAAACAGGAAAAAACCAAGTAGGAACAGAGTAGTGGTTACTAGAGGGGAAGGGGTTGGGGGAGGCAAAGGAGATCAACTGAATGGTGACTGGTGGAGACTGGATATTTGGTAGTGAGCAATGCTGTAAGGTACACAGAAGTAGAAATATAATGTCATACACATAAAGCATAGAAAATTATAAATCAATGTCATCTCAATAAAAAGAAAAAGAAACGCCTTGAAAGTTTTTTTAACACTGGAATAATTAATCAATTAATTTTAAAAATAGCATCTTACCTGTTACTATAGAGTCAGAGATAACACTTTACAATATTCTAAGGACAGCCAAGGAAACAAAACTAAAACTCTCTTACTGAATTTTTAGTAAAAAATTACTGAAAGTGTCGTGTTTTTATACACAATTCTGGATTTTTAAAAACGAGAGAGAGAGTGAGGTCATTTCATTGACTATTATTTTACTTGTCAACTCTGGTCAGAATCCTCCTTTATCAATTTTTTGGGTTTGTCAACATTACAAAATCTGTGTGCAACCTCTATTAGGTATTCTCCCTTGAAATAAATGAAAGTAAACAGAAACGTATAATAATATAAAACAATTTTAACAAGTCAGGATTAGGGATTTTTAATGCAAATTAATATTTAACTGCAAATCTTTAATACCTGTGAATGAAGATGCTGAGTTCAAGAAAAGCAATGAACTGGTCCAAATGGTGAAATTATAAGTTTCATTATATAATATGACTTTCTTATCCTTCTGGGACTAAATCCAAGGGATTTTAACATTTTTGTCAGACTCCTTAAAACCACTTTCAGAAAACAGGACCAGACTTCAAGTGTGTGTAAGGAGATGGGGGAATACAGTTCTCTTAGAGCTAAAATCAGGACTGGTTTTAGAACAGAATCCGCTGTCACTGCAAACTTTCTTGCAGAAGGTGAATCATTACAGCAGAGGCGGGGTCAGAAGCTCCAGACCCCAGCCAGGTAAGGAAAGGTGTGCAAAGCCAGGCAGGCGCTGACCTGCACCGTCCGGAGGCAAAGTCGCTCCTCAGCTCCGATCACCTCTTAGAGGAACTCGGCTGATTCTCCCAATGTTTTTCCAGGAAACCCAAGACTCTAGGTGCCTGTGGGAGATCTTTTACTTTTTAAACATCCATTCACATTGTAAAGTATAAGTT